TGATTAAAGTTTGGCATTTTTAAGGTGGAGGCTAGGAAAATAAAGTGGTATCGTCTTCAGTTCGAGGCTTGTATTTCCCTTTGTATTCTTCAGTTCCCTTCAGTAACAGCTACCCTTTGCAGGAAATTAATACAGGCTCTGGGCTAATTCACAGAACTCTCCAAACCAAGCCCTGTTTCAGTGAGACTTGCATTATACATCCCTTGTAACAACTGGTGCTTCTTAAGCTTGCTCCCAGAATAACTGTGTGGATCAAGTTTTGTCATCTCCCTCATCTTAAAGCTTACACTTCTGATTGTCCTGTTTAGAAAGAGGGTTGCCAACTGAGAAGGAGGGGGAGTGAACAAGAGTTGGTGGAATATCCATTTCTTATTAAAAATAGTTCTTACGAAAATAGTTTTTGTCCTGACTTGTAGAGAAACTCTATTTCCTTGGTGGCTTGTTGCTGATCTCTGTTCTTGTCTGTTTGACTTCCGCCCTGCAAAACAGGTGTAGAGATGCTATAAGTAGCAAGAAGTCCAGTGCATGCAGTGAGTTCCTTGCAGACTCTAAATTACAGTTTTCCTTCCTGTGCCGCAACCTCAGGTCCCTGACCTGCAACTGCAGCATATTTTCTGTGACTAATAGCTGTAATTCCCTAATTATCATGCTCTGTTCTCCTGCTGTGCTGTAGATTTTGTTGCCAAGGAAGCAAACCAAGTTTCCTCATTCCTACCCTTGCTCCGTATACTTCCAACTGTTTTAAATTCACCATTTGATGCAGCCCATAAAGACAAATGACTATCTCTTGTTTCAAATATTCAGTCTCCAGAACATGTTACATAGCTACATGCTGGGGACGAAGAGGGCAAAGTAAGTCTTTCTGGCTTTTCTTTTAGTGAAGACAGTTGGTCCAAAACTATTTCTAGGTTAGAAAAAGTACCTTTATTAACTGTAACCATCCTGTGTGGAGTACTGGACTAAAGATGGTCTCAGGCAGTGGGCCCAAGTAAATGGTACTTCTATAATGTGACTGACAAAACTTCTTTAAACCCCTGAAAAACGAAGTTGGGCATTAAACACTGATGGCAGGTTTTAGGTGTGTGCTGTAATTGGCATACAAGCCTCATGGTTTGAGGATGACTGACATGGTAATGGGGCCAATAGGTCAGTTTTCTTTTTGCCCTCGCTGTTTTTGAGGTTGGGGAAAAATGATTGTATGCCAGATAGAAAGAGAATAAACCTGTGCTAGTCTAGATGGCTAGAGCAATACAGCCAGACTGTATTATGACAGATAAGCAGCTAATTAAAATGTCACAGAAACATGTTAAGCAGCAGGAAAACCATCTAGTTTCCTAAAAACCTACAACTTAATATTTAACCTGTGAAGTATGCAAAGGCACACTTGTGTACTGCATGCACGTTAGGCTTTATTGGATGATGCCCATCATCTTCCTGCAGGATGCACAAAGGCAAGTCTAATGCTCTATGCAGTTGTCAGTTTGGACTTGATCAGTCTAACGTGGCTGTATCCAAGACATTCGCATAAAGCCCCCATTGCTCTTGGTGGGATTCGGTGACAAACAGGAATACTTTCCACGGGCCCAGCTTCCAGTAATTAATTCATGTCTTGCTCCAGAAATATCATCCAAGTTGCAACATGAATGATGTCTCCTAGGTCACAGGATAAAAATTACTGACTCCACAGGGGGTTTGCTGCTTGGCTCCTCTGACCGTTAAACCGAGAAGGGGGAGGCTGCTCCTTCCTCTGGATCACTGGACTTAAATCCACAACAGGGTCTAGCAAACATGACACCCAAAGCTGGGGGGGAGGTCAATAAAGGAAATTATCTGTTTGGCCTCAATCAGAGGAAAAGAAAAGATGCAATACAACTGCCAAAGTAGAGGAGTAAGTAAAGACTACAACAGATGTCCCTAGAACTAAGACTGTCTGTAACTGCTTTATCTGCAGACTTCACAAAGGACTTTATTATAGAGTGCATCATGTAGCTGACAAGCATGGATCAAGTATGGATGCACATAAATCTAGGGGGCCTTTTGTAGACAGATTTGAACTACAGAATAACAGTGAAGAGGCACTCCTTATATGGCAATTCTGAGGTGTTCAATGCATCCAGATGTCATAAACTCTACAGGTAAAGTTGTTGTCTTCCCCAGTGAGCTCTGATGGACATGTGCTGCTGGTGGCCTCAAGCTGGGAGTGAATGACTTTTGGTGGATGGCTGCTGGTGAACAGAGTGAGTGGCACTCAGATGCTGAAGGACTCCAGAGGGGAGGAGAGCGCACTTACCTGTTTCTAACTCAATGAATAAACAATTAGAAACAATCCAAACCAAGGGACCTGTACGGGACAATGAGTAACCAGATGAATGATCCTAGTATCATAACTGGTGTGGCAGCTTATTTGGAAATGGCTTGTCTTAACTTTATGGACCAGAATGGCTGTGATGGACCTGACTAGTATCATATGGTAGTGCTCCCTGGTGTTGCACAGACATTAACTGTCAAGACTGGCAAATGGGTACATTATCTTCAAACTTTAAGAAAAGTATTGTAGCTGAAACTCATTCTAGATAAGAAAATGCAATGGTTTCATGAATCTTTTATAATGTGGGTGTCAAAAAGGAATGCTGGAGGCAGAAACTGGCTGAGCACAAAGGTAGAGAAGCATTCAGGTCTACTGCTCTTAAACTCAGAGGAGTCCAGTGATGAGTCCAGGAGTTCAGCCTGACTAGTAGGCAGCTCAGAGGGTGCCTGGCAACGTACAGCACTGCGTTGCAAAGACAGAGTGGATCCTGTTCTCCCCAGCTCGGCAGAGTTTAGACCTGCACCCTAATGTAGAATATGCAGCAACTTATAGTGCTTAACGGCACCTTTTTATTGTTGTTATTTTTTAAGGTGCAGGCTTCCATCACAGTCAACCTGGCGAGTCACTCTGTCCAGGATCAGTAAAAATACAGCTCTTGCACCATGCTTGATTTGTTAACAGCACTAGGAGAGGTTATGTGAGAAAGCGAGGTATGTGCCTGCTAGGCACACGTGCCACCACAGGGAGCAGGAAGATGTTGTGTGACCATCAAAACTATGCTTAGCAGCCAGGAGCACTGTCCTGCAGCATTCCTGCTAAGGCACACTCACAGCTGAAACACCCAAGCTGTGGCACTGGGGAGTTGGGTTACACAGGGAAGCAAGCTGACTCTTTTGTAGCTGAGCATCTGCTGAGCATAGCACAGCACAAGCAAGGACAGAGTTGCCTGGGGGCTACCTTTGGCTTGCTTCTGTGGAGGTAATGTTTGCTGAGGGTGTTGGAGTGTGCATCTAGTTCTCTGAAAAGAGAGAGAGGGTGTGTTGATAACCATCTTGCTTAGATGAAATGCTTGGGATAGTGTACATATACTTGGCAAATAAAATGAAGCTTTCACCAGAGAGTTGTGAATTAAATCAACCAACTTGAAGTCCACACTGCAGAGGGATGGTTGCTGTACCACAATACTAAGGTATAAAACCTTTTTTTTGTTGTTATTGGTGTTGGTTATTTGGCTTCAAATGAGTGATTCAGGTAGGTTATGGACATTGAAATTAACCACTAGTATTAAATAGCTGGGGGGAAATGAGTGTCAGCCTCCAGCTTCTAGCAGCCTTCTGTTCCTGTGCTATCCAACTGTACATGGCTTACAGGCGTACCACCAGCTACAGCATTGCCTTGAGCAAGGCTTGAACGCATCCTGGTATTGCTGAGGGTCACAGGGATGAATGCCTTGGGAAAGGTAGAGGCTGAAATGGTCTAAGACAAATATTAACATGGTTATTTGCCGTTTAGTTAAAGATGATGGGCAGAGGAAGAAATACATCTGAGTGGAGATGATGAATACTATCTTCTCTGCTCTACTACCAAAGGGGGACGTGCTGTGCTTTGCTTTTGCTTTCAGTCCCACCAGTGTAAGAAAGAAAGTAGCTGGGAAATCTGAACTGGGAATGCACAAGTAGCATCCAAGTCATGTCTCCACCAAGTGTCGCTAGTGTGGTTTGTATCCCATGTCTGCAGCACACACCTACTCTGCTTTTCCTGTGTGCAGTGTGTAAGTGCTGTGCAGCAGTGGGTTTGTCTCCAGTGAGTGTTATGTGTTTTAGGATGTGTGGGGAGGATGTGTTTTGTGTCTCGTGTTGTGCACACAGGACATGAACAGTGGTTAGTGTCTCACAGCTCCAGTGTGAGCGGCTTGTGCAGTGCAAGAAGCAGCACCCCTGGGTGCCACTGAGGTTGCCCCCACAGCTGCCCTCCAGTCTGCTCCAACACGTTGTATCCTCCTCCTGCCCAGCATGGGTGTTGTCATGGCCAGCTGCAGCTGTTTGGGGATGGAGTGCCCTGTTGGGGTGCCAGCCAGTCTGGCTGCTGTGCAACAGGATTCTGCCGGCAGCCCTGATGGTGTTTAAGACTGGAAGGGTTTTGTGTGTCCCACTTCCCCTCACAGCACAGCCCTGGCTCTGTGTGAGCTGAAGCCCTGTCAAGGGAGGTGGTGGTCTAACACTACCTCCGTGCACAGAAGCAGATTTCTGTGACTGCAAGATCCACCCTACCAGACACAGTCCTGAAGGTGAAGGTGCAGGCACAGCAGATGGCTCTCATGCAAGCACCTCCACTGCAGCAGGAATGATGCTGGGGTGCTGGAACATGTCCAGCTGAGGTGGGGCAGAACTGAAGCTCTTGGAGCCAAGTCTTCTGCTCTTCATCCTAAAGGAAGCATATCTGCAAAAACTTAAATCCAAAGCAATGTTAATTGTTAGAGACATTTCTCACTGGAACAATCTGGCTTTGTAACTCTCTGTCTAAGGGAGGTGCCAGTCTGCTTAACCAGCTGGGGGAGAAGTCCTGCAAGCATCTACACTAGTCAGTGAGCCAAAAATTCAATGGGACTTGGGCTCTGGATCTGCTTTTGACTGTGTACCTTGTGTTCAGTTGCCCCAAACGTAGAGGAACAGTGCAGGGAGGCATTAAGGTCTTGTTTTCAGCCCACTCACTTTATATTTCCAAATCTTGATTTATGCCACTTCATCAAACTGGACCACAGTTTTTCTCTGGTTTTGCATTTTAACTCACCTGAAAGAGAACCATATATACCTCATATCATGCTGAGTGTTGGAATTATTTATTTTTTTGTTTAAAAATTATCTCTTTCAATTTGTTATTATCAATGTGTATTTAAAATACACTTTAATAACAAAGAAATGGAACAGGGGCAAGGGACGCTTTACATACCTCACAGCAAGACAAAGGACATGGTAACAATTTCCTTCAAAGGTCTTACACTGTTTCACCAACCACCAGAAAAGGCTGATTTTGGCTCCTAGGCACGTGCAGAGAGGATTTCTACAGCAAAATTTCTTGCAGAGGGCCTGCGGGCTCAGCTGCTGCCTGAAACAAGCATCACACATTAGAAAAGCTGCAAAGATTTGACCCAACAGCTGCTGCATCTTCTGCAGGGATTTAAAGCACTGGAGCCCTTTCGTAACCTTTCGTAACCTGTCAGGAAAGTCAGGCATTTATTTTTTTAACATGTACACAAATGATATATATAAAGAGAGGTATTTATGTATACACACACAGAGCCACATATGAGTACATATATATTTACATGTTTGTATGTATATGAGTAGATAGACAGATGAAGATGGACATATACTTGACTAAAAAAGACACTTGGAGTGGCCAATTAACAACAAAGCACTTCATTATCTAGTTCAGCACTGGACTGAAATCCTGTGCACCTCACAGGCCCAGCTAGTAAATTAAAATGCAACCTCTTCTCTTGTAGCCTGTGTGACAAATGGCATGAGTGTGCAGCCTAAGGACCAGCAGCAGCTAACCTGCTACTGAGGACCAGTGACCCATTTCCATCTCAGCAGCTGAAACTGTGCCTAGTATCTTTTTAAAGCCCCCATGGCGGGGAACAAAATGAGGTTGAGAGGGAAGAGACAGCAAGAGTGGGGAAAGCCACTTTTTCGGAGATATGGTGGTTCCTGGTGTCAAACAAGAGGTTACCAGCCCCTGCTCTGGGGTGAGGATTCCAGCTCCGTTACCTTTGAGGAGATGGCTTTTGCCACTCAGCTGAATCCTGGGTCAATGGCTCATCATTTCTTCCTGTGGTTTGTCCCATTCCAATGTCTTCCTTCCCCATGCCCAGTCCTCAGTACTCAGCTCCTGTTTGAGACACAAGCATTAGGTCAGCTACTTCGTTTGTTGTTGCAGTGCATTCAGCGCCTACTGAAACTGCTACAGCCTTTTATACATAAAATAGATATAATATTTCTAGAGAAATGATAATATATTATATATATTGGTATGTGTAGATATACCAAATATACATAAAAGATATAAAAGATCTTTTATAAAAGATCTGTAAAAAGACATCTGGCTGACCATCCAATACTGCCCCAACACCTGTGTCACCCACAAATGGGTGCAGAAACATATCACCCAAACCAAGGCAACTGAAAAACCAGGCGCCAACAGTCAGTGTATGGTCACGCACCCACAGTGAGTGTATGCACACCGTGGCTATGCTTGTTAGCCTGTTTCTTGGAAGTGAAAGTATAGGGTAAGTTACCCCACAACATATGCTTTTTTCATGAGAGGAAAGCATTTATAAAATTTACAAGACAGTTCTATAGCTGTAATAGGAGCTCGTACTGTACATGCTTCTTATGGCGCCTCGTTACTGGGCTCATGCTATAGAGACCTCACTGTTATCTGCAGAAAACTTGGTCTCACTGGGCATTTTCTGCACCACGCTTTGCATTCCTCCTCTTTTCCCCAACCATCCTTCCCCAACAAAGGCTCTTTTTTCAGGAGAATTAAGGCGCAAATCGTCATATCTGTTCCAAGGGCAGAGTGCGTTGGTCTTACTTACTATGTGAGGAGTACTGGCATTCATGGGGCTCCAACAGCTGGATCTGAGCATTTCCTTTAATTGAACAGGTTTGCAGTCTCTCTGTGCTGAAGCAATTCTCCACATCACACAAGCCTGCATACCAGAATAAAATGAAAATTTAAGAGCGCTGGCTAACAAGACCGAGAAGCTCATTGTTTAAACAAGAGGCTGATTGTCTGGGTACTCAAGTGCCCCATTCCTCCAACATTAAACCCACACGAGGGACAGCAGCCTAATCCACAGCTTGCCGCCAGGTGGTATAGAAATTAATCTTCCACTTACCCGGGCTATTAGTTGCGGTATTCATAAAGGTTTGCAACCCAACGAGACAAGTGACTAAAATTTTCTCCTTGTCATAGAGGGTCATGGCAACGTGGTGATATAAAATATCAGCCTGTCCCCTGTGGTGAGGAAAGTGTGAATGATGTGCATGGGGAGGGGGGGCAGGCAGGTGGGGAGAATGGCACCCCAGCACCTTCTGGTTCAACATGTGCAGCTCCAGGCTCTCTAACTGCACAGTGAATATGTTAGGGGATAGGGGATGGACTGGGAAAACCCAGGCTCACCAAGGACCTGAGCACAGGCCACCATGTCATACAGGGCTGAGCAAGTTTGGTGTTTATGAAGAAAGGAAATAAATACTGATTTTTCTCACATTTTAGCAACATCAAAACTCCCATTTCTAGTCTGACAGGCCTCCTGCGAGTGCTGGATACACAACAGATTGACCCTCATTAGGTCTCCCAAAAGCTCAGAACATGTTTCGGATCTGCTTGCCAGGACATTTAACTCGTCTTCCTAACAGGGTATATTAGCAGAACAGAAGAGGAAGAGAAATCTAGTCCTTTATTAGTCTGCTGCTCCCTTAAAGTCCGGGGAGGAAAGGGAAAATACTCAGCAGCAAGCAGGTGATCAAAACAGGGACCACATAAACAGAAACATTTGGAAGGGTACAGCCTCACGAATGTTCAGCATGATTGCTTCCAGTTTTCATCTCCTCACATTTCACTGCAGACGTAATTCGTCGCAAAGCACTGCCAAAACTTTTCACAACACCAAGGGACATAGAGTTTGATACAGATAATAATATTTACAAATATTACAAATTTTCCCCCCATACTTTCCTGGTGTTTTCCCAAAAGCTTGCAATCCCATCTGGCTACAGGTTATCTTACTGCCCTCTTAATGACTTCCCTAGCCTCAGGAGCTCATAGTTGTGCCACAGGGAGATGGCAGCCTCTTCCTTTGCATATGTGGGACTGACGTATCTTGCTGTGCAAATGGAAAAGCAAACAGTCAGGGCCAAGCGCAAGTCAGTCCCTCACCATGTGTTTGTGCATGACTCTGACTTGGTGCCCAGGTATGTCTCCAGGTCATCCCAGGTTATGCCCCAAGCTGGAGAAACATTTTGCAAAACACAACAGCTTTTAACAAACAGTGACACCACAGTCCCCCTTTGCTACATATATTCCTCCTGTCTGTGTCCTCACATGGCAGCAATTTAACAGTTTATGCACCAACTTCTTCCACATCTTCTGTCAAATTTCCAGCTATATCAAATTTTTATTTTTCCAGGGTTTGATTAAGTTAAAGGTCTAAATTTTTGCCAGATAAAAGTAGAACTGAACAAATCTGAAAGGCTTTAATGCAGGGTTGTTTGTTGTTTGGTTTTTTTTATGGATCCCATGAATAGCAGCAGAGCTAATTCAGAGCTTGGACTTAGAGGAATTTGAATCCAAATTATTTTAGTTCCTCTTTTGGCTTGCTTTATAAAACATACAGCCAGTAATTCCACAGCCTCTCTCAAACTCCTTTCTATAAATAACAATTTACCATTGAAAAGAAATGTAAAGGGTCAGAGCTATGCTCAGAGATTCACATATCACCCACAAAAGGAGCAAGTTGGACACAGGCTGAAAAGTAAATTTCCCAGAATGGGAAGAACTGAAGAAATAAGATATTTAATTCCTTCTGGTTCCATATCTTTACTTAATCTGGTATTAATCCCACCAGCAAGCACTGCTGCACGGTGAGTCCCGAGACAACCTCACACCTGGCAAAGAGCAGAAGCAAGTCTGCAGTCCCACCACTAACCCCCATTCTTAGCTGCCAGTGGATCAAGCCTTTGGTAACTCCTTGAATCACTCTCTGCACTGATGTGACGTCACCTTGAGTGCTGTGTGCAGTTTTGGGCATGACAATATAAAAAAGGCACTAAGCTTTTAGAGAGTGTCCAGAGAAGGGCCATAAGGATGGTGAAGGGTCTGGAGAAGAAGCCTTATGAGGAGCAGCTGAGGACACTCAGTTTTGTCAGCCCGGAGAAGAGGAGACTGAGGGGAGACCTCACTGTGGTCTTCAAGGGGAAATGGAGGGGAAGGTACTGATCTCTTCACTCTCATTACTAGTGATAGGACTAGAGTTTCCTCTAGAAATGGCATGAAGTTGAGTCAGGGGAGGTTTAGATTGGATATCAGGAAAAGGTTCTTCACTTAGAGGATGGTTGGGCACTGGAACAAGCTCCCCAGAGAAGTGGTCACAGCACCAAGCCTGTCTGAGTTCAAGAAGCATTTGGGTAACAGACCCTAATACTGTTTCCATTTGAGAAGGTACAAATATTTCTCTTATATAGCTTACTGAAACTTGCGGCTGTAACATCACTGCAATCTGTTTTCTCCTGGAAAAGTTTGTTACTCAGTGTGAGATAACCATTTTGTTTAATACTAAACTTTCAATTAAAGCATATTTGTATTTTATAAGCACTGAGAAGTTAAATAAGTTGTCTCTCTATATATCATATCTCTATATATCATAAATATAAAAAAATTACAGCTGGGTCCATTGTCTGGTAAAAAAATAAAAAAGCCATCTCTGCTACTTGATTTGTCTTGAAACACATAACTGAGTTGCTTTTCCCACTCATAGTCTGCTATTCTTTATACATAAAGCCTACTTTCTAGGAGCACTTAAAATATTTGTACATGTCTACCACAGTCCTAGATTTAGCCATGTGCTACTCTGAGCAGATGGAAATTAGGGTGGAAGCGTGTGGTTTACAGGAGTGACAGTCTTTATGGAAAAAAAAAAAACAAAAAAACAACTCACACCAAAATTAGCCAGTCATGGGCTTTGTGCAGTCATTGCTATTGAATACAACTGGGCAGAGGAATATTTGCTTTACACATGCAGCATTTTTCACACTGGGGTTAAGACACAGCCCCACGACTGCTGCAGGCACCACAACCTCAGAGAAATACTTTGAGCCAAATTCTGTCCTTTTAGAAATCCCCTTCCACAACTGTGAAACTTTTGTGGCCATCTGTTCTGCACAAACCCAGCATCGTTTGCTGAGTACTCCACCTCAGCAACCTGGAAATCCCAGCCTGGTGAGCATCTCCCCTCTTGCACCCTGTTATCATCCACTGAGAGCCATTATATTTTTTTCTTTCAACCTTACACAGCTCTCACTTTCACATTGGCCCTTCTGGCCCCATCTTCTAAAATATGTCTTAGAAAATGGAAATTCCTGTCCATACACACTTGGTCCACACATGGTGAATTCAGTGGGAGCTCTTGGCAGAGGACCACCCTGCCTCCAAATCAGAGCCTCCTCTCATCTCTAAACCAATTTTGAAAATGCAACAGCACCTGCCAAGCAAGGACAAATCATTAAAACATCTCAAATTGTCACTGTTCCCCTTTTGTTCAAAGGAAACAAGGAACACTAGATGGCCCACAACCCAACAGCTATCCAAAGACAGAAGGTCATCTGCCACTAATCCACTACAGACTCTGTAACACATCATACAGGGACCAAGGGCATTAGGGCGCCATGAGGCAAAGTCTGGGAGCACTGATGAGCAAGTCCATCAGCTCCCAGTCTGTAACACAGGGCTCTTCCCTTGGGATGGATATTCCGATATTACACTTACAGGCTGCAAGATCGTAAGAAAGAGAAACAAACAAAAATACATTTTTTTTTAAGACTAGTGATTCCTTCTTCCAATCGTTCTCCATTATAGAATATTCTTTATGTCCTTCATCAGTCTTGTACTTGGTTACAGATGGAAAATATTAGCTCTGGTTTACAAAACATGGCCCCGTTTCCTGTAACACAGCACAGGTTGGACAAATCTGTCATTTGAGTAGTGTGTCTATTCTGTGGCCAATTCTGTAATCTACAAGCAATGTGATCCTAAACAAGGAATCTCATGTTAGCAGCCAAGATTGGAAAATCCCTGTTTAGTGTGATTGCTGCCAAAACCATCTCACTTGCTAAGGACAAGCTAATTTTCAATCTGCAGTTTGGGAGCTGTTGGTCTTACTCTTCAGTTCTTTTTTTTTTTTTTTTTGTTGGTTTTTCGTTTTGTTTCACTTGGTTTTTTTAAGAAATAAAACATGCCCCATTTTCTAAGATGACACAAACAAACACCTGATTTATAAATGTACAAAATGGATTTAGAAGAGTTTAGGATATATGAAAACATATCCCACTCCCTATTTATTAAAAAAATATTCTGTTTTTGAACACAATTTGAACAAATGACTTTTTGCAAATCTGAAGAGTTTTAATTCACAACAAACAGCAACAAGACTGTTGTGTACAAATAAGAGGAGAAGAGCAAGGAAACAAAAAAGTGTTATATCACAGAGATAAGACAGATCAAGGATGATCTAGATACAGCTTTAAATGAGAACTTGACCTCAGTTTTGATCATCTCATATCCCCACTGCTATTATTTATATCACCTTGATCCATCTTGCAAACTAAGATGGAGGCAAAGCTCAAGAAATTTAATATACCCAGGTTGGCAGACACAGAAATGAAAGGCAGAAAAAGCTACATAAATTATTAATTATAAGTTTTTCAGGTTGCAGATGCTTCCAGCTGATAAAAAAAAGAAATGCAGTGCCAATATTTAAAAGTAGAGCTCAGAGAAATTACTCAAAAGAATTAGATTTAAGTATTTTGTGTTTTTGAAGAAATCTTGAAGGAAAGGAGAGAGGAGCTTGATTAGACAAAGGAGAAGGCAAGCGTATAATATGCACCAACTTGAAAACAGTGTGATCTTTCTTACGCTCTATCACTAGAGGAGTCCTCAGAAGACATGGAGGAGTATTCATGTCACTACACAAGTGTCAACAGTATCTCCTTCAGTTGCTATGTTTCAACTCAGTATTAAAGAAAGGAGAATTTCATTTTGAAATATGTGCAGGGAGAGGTCACAGAAAACCATCTTGAGCCAGACCTGGCCTCATTTGCTATCACATGTACATTTTCCAGGGTTTGAATTCTTCTGTCTTTGCTCTTCTAAATGCTCCTTCTGTAGTTTCCTACATGAAGAGAGTCCTTCTGTTTAAAGAAATTTGTGATGGCAGGTTGTGGGGTTTTCTTTTTTTTTTTTAAAGTTAGATATTACTAATGTTAATTTTTCTTCCCTTTTCACTTCTTGTAAAAATTTAAATTCATACGCATTACAGCATTTCACACTTTGCCAGCCTACTGAGCTCAGGGGTTGATGGCTTATCTTAGGACATGGGTGGTAAAATAGGAGGAGGAGGTTGCACTGTCA